ATTCCTTGCAACTTGTGCTCCATTTCTTATTCTATTTAGCCTAATGCACTTTTGTGTTTGTTGGCTATGTATGGAAAGTTTGTTGGATTAGTACGTCAAAAGTTAATTCCTTTATATTATAGGAAGTGTCCTAGATAGGGGGAGTATTTTTTGGACAGTTTGGGTGGTACATTTTTGTAATCACATTGTGAGGATCATTTTGCTTAGGTAGTTTGTGCAATTTGATAGGAGGAGTTGTTTTGTACTGTTTTGAACAAGTGTTATTTGACCAGTCATCAATCTATGTTATGTGCTGTTAACCTTGTTCATATCTGCCTATCTTCTTTCTGGTTAATCCCCTTGTATGTTTTCTCTATCTCTCTGCCTTTTTGCACTTTCCTTACCAACAAGGGGGAGAACACTCTCAAACCCACATTGCATATTGTTTTAAAAACTCTGTGATAATATGCTTGTTTTTGTGCTTGGGAGATTGGTTGTTCTTGCAGGTACCTTCACTTCTTCATCTCCTTAAGCTGGGTTTTGGGTTGAGTGTTTTTAGAGAGTGTGTTGTCAAGGAAAGCCAAAAGGGAGAGATTGTTAATGTATAGTTTTTTATTATTTTCTTTTGGCTTCCCTTGACAACTTTGTAGTAGGATGTGTATTGTTATTTATCAAGCTCAAGTTTAAATTAAGGAAAACCTTTCTTGGTGTTCTTCTCTAATTTCTGCTCTATGGAGGTTCAAGCAAGTTGACAAAGGTATTGTGCATTGCATATCATGACATTAAACAGTCTTCATAAAATGATGACTAGTCATCCGTTTCTCAGATGACTAGTCATCCTTGCTCTGTAGGATTTCCAGCTGGATAACAAACCATTTTGTCCTATTCTTCTTTCTCTCTCTCTGCTGCCATGTGGGTTTCTGACATAAGGAATTTTTTGGTCTGCAAAGGCTACGATTTTGATCATTTGGCGGCTGTCTCTTTTGGGTGGAAGTTTTTGGAAAGATTGGCTTGCTATCTTTCTCTTCTTCTTCCTCAAGAGAGAACCAAATATTTCATCTATGAGTTTTTCCAATTGATTTCTTTTTGAAAAACTGCATTTGAAACACGAATGTGCATCTAGCTACTTAAATCATTCTCTCATTTATATCTAGGTCATATTCAAGACTAATTTCTTCAAGAGTATGGTTTCTTGAAGAAATTGGTCATTCTCCTTTGAATCCAAATTTTGGTTTCGATTTGTGTTGGAGCTTGCAAGCTAGTGCCATGGGATGACCGAGCTGGAGAAGGAGGTGTCATTGCCATGAAGAACTGAGCTTCAAGATTTGCTAAGTTAGAGAAGAAGATTGCACAAAGAAGGTATAGCTCATCTTCCTAAATAGATCTAGGTTTTTCTTGAGCTTGCTTGTGTTCCTTTGTAAGAATCTTTTTCTACTTAGTGGATTGCCTGGTCGGTTGATGACCCCCAGTTTTTCCCAATGGTGGGTTTCTGGGTGAACAGTTTCTGGTTTCCAACTCTGTAAATTTTCTGGGTTTGTGTTCTTGATAGTTGACTAGTCATCTGGGTTTGTGCAGTTGACTAGTCATCTTTTTCTACTGTTTGGTGTTTGCTTGATTATGTTGTCTTCACACACTTTCACCATAGTTGTTGCTAGCACAGGGGGATGCCTAGATTGACCAGTCCTTCTGAGTGACTAGGTTGTCACTAGTAATTCTCTAGGCTTGCAGGTACATCTTTGTATGCTCTGTGTATGTTATTGTTTGGTATAATTCATATATGACAGTTGACTAGTCATAAGAGTATTTGGTCAAGGTCTAGAGTGTGAAGTTTTCTGCGTTCTTGGTTGAATATCTTTTAAATTTACCCCTCGTCACTTAAGTACCAATTTCATGCTTGTCACAAAATTGACAGATAATAACACCAATATTGTGGGGAGAACAAGAATTAACTCCAGAGGAAAGATTAAAACCAGAGGAAGAACCGCCATGAAAGAATTGAGGTCTGGAACCCGAGCCAGAAGCAGAGGAGCCAAGATTTGAGCCATGCATCCAAGAAATAGGGAGAGCAGGAAGCAAACCACGATTGTTCGAATTCAAAGGGCGAGGCTAAAATTGAGAAGGAGATTGGAAGCGGCCATGACCTCGGTTGTTAGAAAACGCTTGAGAAGAATGAGGGTTGTTCGAAACAGCCGCGTAGGCATGGAACGGTTCAGGAGTGATCGACATAGAGGCATGATTCTTGCACCGCAATATCGCAGCCGCACGACCAAGCAAGAATCCATGGAGCTCATCAGAAGACATCGGATCACTACGAGTTTCAATCGAAGTCATAAAGGAGTCATATTCCTCAGGAAGACCAGCGAGAATGTAAGCCATAAGATCAGCATCAGTGAGGGGGTGGCTAGCCGCTCCTAAACCAGCAACAATTTCCTTCATCTGCTACAAATAAGTGACCATCGAAAAATCACCTTTAGTTAGGATTTGAATATGAGAGCGCAATTGATGAATGGTTGCCCTAGAAAGACCACCGAAACGTTTCTCAAAGAGGTCCAAAGATCACGGGAGGTCTCGACACCCACAATATAAGAGAGAAGATCAGAAGATAGAGTGGAGATAATCCAAATCATCAGGCTTTGATCCTTATCATACCAAAGATCAAACACCGGATTATCCACAGTAGAACCATCAGCAGCAAGAATAGTGCGAAACGGAGGTGACTCAGCACCATTGATGAGACCAAGCATCTTGAATTTATGAAGAATTGGAAGAAAAAAGTTCTTCCAGAGCAGATAATTGTTTGCCTAAAGTTTAATCGGCACCATGCCAGAAATATTCTGGAAGGTAACAGTAGTAAAAGCCGGAATCAAGTGCGATTCAATTGGCGAGGAAGAGGAATGAGGCGATGGAACAGCAGCAAGAGACGGTGAGGAATCAGAAGAAGCCGAGAGAGGAAACAAAAAAGTGTTTGGTCAGAGAGAAAATTGGGAAGAAAACTCAGTGCAAGAGTGGGTGGAATCATGAGATAGAAGGCGATGATACCATGAAAGAAGTGTGATTCTTATTATTGAATAAACTGTTATAAAGGGCTTTTATACACAACAGCTATGCTGAGCTGTCATGACTAATGACAAATGAGAATATATTAGTAAACAAAAAATATAACTAATCTAACAGATGCATAACTAATTACTACCTTTAATGAACAACGTTGGTCCCCTTCATGAAAGCATTGTTACCACTGCTCAAGCTCGTGAGACACCCATCAATATGTCATCTTTTGAAGCTTTCCTTCTCTCTGTGGAACGTCGACTTCCGACTTCTTCTGGTGCGACAGCCACTATGGCTTCCCGTGGTGGTCTTGGTTATGGCCATCACAGCGGATTTGCTAGTCCTGGTGGTCAAGGTTTTAGCAATCATGGTTCTATCTTGCCCTCACACTCTGGCTTTTCCATAGGTTGTCGTTTTTCTGGCGCACCTAACAACGCTCCTCGCTCAGGTCCTGATGTTATTGGCCCACCGCCTTCTGGCTCTACTCCTTCCTCTTTTGGGCCTCCTTCTACCCGTGGGCCTATTTAATGTTTCAATTGTCATGGTTTTGGCCACATCGCTGTTGTATGTCCTTCTAAGGCTTCTTATGTGCATTCACCGCCATCTCGTCTTCAAGGCATGACTACTCAACATCCTTCGCACAATGGCCATCAACAATGGGTTGCTGATACCGGTGTTAACACTCATATTACCAACGAGTTGAGACACTTATCCCTTGCTAGAGAGTATCATGGTTCGGACAATGTTAGAGGTGTGCTTGGTGGAACAGGTTTGCCTATTGAAAATATTGGTCACTCTCGTTTCTCTCACCTTAATTCTTCTTTCAACCTTAACGATGTTCTTCATTGTCCTCTTTCTTCCTCTTTTATCTGTTCATAAATTTGCTACTGATAACCATTGTTTCTTCACTTTTTTTATTGATTGTTATTTTATCGAGGATTTGGCGACGAGGAAGACGTCTTTCTGGGGCAAGAGTATTAATGGCCTATATCCATTTTCTTTTATAGCAAATTAAGTCTTTTCAAGTTTTGCCTGATCGTGTTGCTTTACTAGGTGTCCGCGTTGACCTTTCCATGTGGCACTCTCGCCTTGGTCATCCTACTTCATCTACTTTGAAATTTTTGTTATCACATAAGAAACTGCCATCTTCGGGCCACAGGTTTAGTTATTTTTATCAATCATGTTAGTTGGGTAAAAGTGTTAAACTACCCTTTAGTCCATCTTTTTTCTATCTCTTATTCTCCAATGAAACTTATTCACTTTGATGTGTGGAGTTAAATCTATTGCCGGTTTTAATTATTATGTTTTATTTTTTTGATGATTTTTCTCGTTGTTCTTTGATTTTTCCAATGACATTGAAATCAAAGGTTTTCTCTCACTTCGTTAAATTTAAAACTTTACTTGAAAATCTATTTTCTACTATGGTGAAGGCCTTTCAATCCGATGGGGGTGGGTGTTAATGTATGCATTTTGAGTTTTTCTTTTGGCTTCCCTTGACAACTTTGTAATAGGATTTTTATTGTTTTTTATCAAGCTCAAGTTTAGATTAAAAATTACTTCTCTAGGTGTTCTTATCTTGCTATATTCTGATGGAAAACAATGTGTTTGACAAAGGTAAATTCTGCATTGCACTACATTGCATTCACTAAATTTCTGAAGATTATGACTAGTCATCTTTCCTTCGTATGACTAGTCAACCTTTGTTTCAATTAGGATTTCCAGCTCACTATTTCCAGCTGGGGCTTAACCTTTTTTTTGGTCCTTTTCTACGATTTTCTCAGCTGCCTTGTGTCTATTCTGACCTATGAATTTTTTGGTAAAAGCCAAAGAATTCCTCATTTGGAGCCGTCACTTTTGTAGGCAAGTTTTGGAAAGTTTCTCTGTAAGCTTTTTCTTCTTCCTCAAGTGTAACCTTCATATTTTTCATCTTTGAGTTTTCCAAAATGTTTCTTTTTGAAAACTACATTTGAAATATGAAAACCTCATCTTGCTAGATCAAACACTCTCTCATATATATCTAGGTCAGATTCAAGATTGATTTATTCAAGAGTATGGTTTCTTGAAGAAATTGGTCATTCTCCTTTGAATCCATATTTTGATTTCTGTCTGAGTTAGAGCTTGCAAGTTGGTGCCATGGGATGAATGAGCTAGAGAATGAGCTGTCATTGTCATGAAGAACTGAGCTTCAAGCTTTGCTAAGTTGGAGAAGAAGATTGCACAAAGGAGGTATAGCTCATCTTCCAAAATAGATCTAGGTTTGTCTTGAGCTTGCTTGTGTTCCTTTGTAAGAATCTTTTTCTACTTAGTGGATTGCCTGGTCCGTTGATAACCCCTAGTTTTTCCCAATGGTGGGTTTCTGGGTGAACAATTTCTGGCTTCCATCTCTGTAAATTTTCTAGGTTTGTGTTCTTGATAGTTGACTAGTCATCACATGATTCTGGGTTTGTGTTCCTACAGTTGACTAGTCTTTTTTTCTTTTTTTTGCTGTTTGGTGTTTGCTTGATTATGCTGTCTTCAAACCCTTTCACCATAGTTGTTGGTAGTACAGGGGATGCCTAGATTGACGGGTCCTTCTGAGTGCCTAGGTTGTCCCTAGTAATTCCCTAGGCTTACAGGTACATATTGGTATGCTCTGTGTATGTTATTGTTTGGTATAATTTATATTTGACAGTTGACTAGTCATAAGAGTATTTGGTCAAGGTCTAGAGTGTGTGAAGTTTGTTGCGTTCTTAGTTGAATATCTTTTAAATTTACCCCTTGTCACCTAAGTACCAATTTCAGTGGGGAATACCCTAGTCATCAATTTCAGGATTTTTTTCAATCTCATCATGGCATTCATCATCGTTCTTCTTGTCCACATCATCCTGAGCAACATGGCTTAGCCGAACATAAGTATTGTCACATTGTTGACGACGGGCTCACTCTTTTAGCCCATGCCTCTATGCCTCCTCTTGATGGGGCCAAGGCAATGCGCATCGCTGTTTATTTCATTAATCGTTTTCCTTCTAAGTTGCTTCAGCACAAATCACCCTATGAAATTTTGTTTCAGGAAGAACCTAATTATTAGTTTTTAAAAACTTTTGGGTGCACATGTGTTCCTTATTGACGGCCATATAATTATAATAAATTCCAATTTCGGTCCTTCAAATGTGTGTTTCTTGGTTTTTCTTTGAACCATCAGTGTTATCGGTGGTTCGATCTTGTTTCCAATCGTGTTTCTTATCGCGTCATCTGTTATTTGATTAATTTTCTTTTTCGTTTAACAAGGCTCAGGTTGCTCGTGCTCCAAACCATTCTCCGTCGTTAGACCCGCCTCTCATCCTCTCTAGCCCACATTTCTCTTCTTCCACACTACTACAAAAAGTGAAAAAGATGACAAAAAAAAAACGACGGTTAAATGGAAAACCGTCGTTGTGTTTGAAAAGACGACGGTTTTAAACCGTCGTGTAAGAATAAATTAAACACCTAAAAAATGGGGAATTCAATGATTGTTTTTAAAACACAACACACCTATTTTAAAAAGCGACGTCTAATTGAAAAATGTTTTCCCCAGAGTAAACTCGGAGCCTACAAACAACGGCAGAAGGTATGAATCAACCGGCATAGAAAGTAAAGATGACGGTTTAAATAAACACCCGCCGTTTTTTCTCCGTAATAACCACGACCAAGTTTTCGTATCCGGCGTCGCATAATTTCAAAAAAATCCACGGCGGTATATCAAAATACCGCCATCTTAAATAGATGTACAACGATGTAAAATATAAATTTATTGACTTATTTCATGTTCCATACTACGACGATATTTTTAACTCTAACCACGTTGGTTTGTTCAATTAACGACGTTTAATAAAATTTACCACGTCGTGAAGTTAAAAGTACCGTTGTATTTATTTACTTTATACGTCTACCCTTATACCTAAACGGTCGTCTTAATTACATTATTTTTTACTATTTATTTCTTGGATTTTGGTATCCTACGACGGTAGACCAACTTAATGACAAGAATTGAGAATAACCACGACGGTTTGTATAGGAAACCGCGGATAGAATAAATTTTTCTGAGATCCAAGATATACGTCGTGAAGTTAAAATTACCATCGTATTTATTCACTTTATACGTCTGACCTTATATCTAAACTGTCGTCTTAATTGTAATTTTTTATAAAAAATTTTATTTCTTGAATTTTGTTATCCTACGTCTGTAGATCAACTGAATGTCAACAATTGAGAATAACTATGACGGTTTATATAGAAAACAGCCAACAAAATCATATTTGAGATCCCAAGAGTTACGAAATCTTACTAGATGGAACCATGTTCCTCATCATAATCGGACCACAGAAAGACACAGATTTGCCTCTAAAATTTGACGACAGTAGCCACAGATTTGCATATAGAAAGGCAATTTTTTGGAAGTTGATGATGTGTGTGTGTTTGTGTCTTTCAGATACACAAACGCACAGACACATCAACATCAAAAAATTCGATTAATAATTGGTGGATTTTACAAAGAGGTATTTATATGATCATATGCTTGTGTATGATAGTGTTCTTTTGCTTAGCAATAATATGTTATATTATATGCAAACAAAGACTACTTTAAATTAAGAATCAATTTTATAAAAATCTATATTCTTAGATATTAAATTATTAGCAATAATATGTTATATTATATGCAAATATAAACTATACTTTA